CCAGGGATGCACAAATGCCACCAGGGATGGATCATCAAAATCCTCTGTGTACTCACATTGGGGGAGATGCTCTTTGTCTTCGTGCAGCGGTGGCAGGGTGGAACCAGGCTGGACACGAGTGGGCAGTTTACCTTCACCGCAGCCAGAAAATACAGAATTTACCCATCTCGTGCACTAGATAGCGAGCGTGAAGTCAGTTTTATTCAGTGAGCCAGGGCTGCTTGGTGCCCACGGTCCACTGGGGAGGCGGGATGGACTGCACCGTGGCCACGGAGGTAGTGTTGCAGGGCCTGTCTGCAGTCCGCTCGTTCTCAATTGATGGCCCTCCTCAGCAGAGATGAAGATATGAAGCACTTTGATTTTCAAGCGCTCTGTGCTCTTGTTTCCTGGCCCGACTTCATTTAAAAACTGGAAAACTCACATGCCAATGTGGGTGTGAAAGGGGACCTTAAAGCACCGGCAGTGCAAAAAAGACATGAAACTCCCCTTAATTATGAGAGTGGGAGTTTTCTGTACTGAAAAACAGATTTGATTTTAAGAGCTTTAAGTGACTTTTCTATTTGAAAGCTTTATAGTAAACAAAATGTGATTAACTCACTTAATGACTCATTGCAGGAGAGTTTTTGATTTTTCATATACTATGTTTCTGTCATAGACTTATTTTAATTATCCTTACTGAATAATAGAGCTTGATAACAGCTTGGACAAGGTAGGAGGGAAGGTCATCAAGATAGTTGTCCTTTTTTAATATTGCAGCATTCTTGCGCAGAGCTGTTCTTGACGTCCGTTGTGCCGGTGACAGGGCTGTCAGCTGCGGTGCATCCTGTGAGATGCTATCAACGTATCCTGTAATTTTAGAAAAGGTTCCAGGAGCAGAGCGAATCGTGGATGATTTGGGGGGGAGATGATGCCACGGCTGATGACAGGGAACCTGTCTTGTCCCTTCCTTCCCCCTGCTCCTGGCCTCTCTGAGAATAATGGAGAAAAAAGCGACGAGTCTATTTTATAACTCACCCGAGTGAAATCACAGCGCGGTCACCTTTGCCCAGGCTGGCTCTGCCAGCGCCTGCTGTGCTTTTCCAACCCACCACTCTTATCTTAATGTGATATCGCTTTGTGGCCCTCATGCTTTCATCTGTTCCTTTTGGACTGATTCTGCTTGGGTTTGGTGGCGGTGGGGTTTTTCCCTTTCATTTTTTCGTGATGACCCCGAGACGCAGCCCTATGCCAGGGTATTTCTAGATCTGAATTTCTGGCCTTAGGCCATCGTGGACGTGCCTGGAGCTGCCCCCAGCTATTCCCACTGGAACTGGGGTAGAAAGAGGCATTTGTTCACCTAACAAAATTGAGATCTGAGGGTGACTGAAGAAATATTCTGGTTTTACTTTTTTTTTTTTAATTACTTGCTCCCGAATGTACTGTTTGGTAAGGCTTCAGTGTTCGTTATCTGAATGGTAAGGGCGCGTGAGGTTTGAAGGTGCCTCTTTCCTCCTGAGGCTGCCAGGTGGGTCCCCATATAGAAGGGCCAGTGCTCAGACTTTTTGTTCAGTTTCCTAAAAGATTTATAGATATGCAGGCCAGAGGATCCATGCTGGGCACCTTCGTAGCACAGGTCGCTCACAGTCCATCATCCGAACGTGAGCAGTGTTGATTTTTACTGTTCCCTAATTCCCATGCTGTGCAGAACCATGGCAGATGCTGGGCAGAAGTCTTTGCGTTATTGTTATCCTCTTTATTAATCATTTCTGCAAAAGAATTATTACTTATTTTAATCTTCTAGTTCTTTCTCACTGATCGTTATAACATTCATTTACTCTCCTGCATCTATAGCATGTACCACTGCTTTTGCCCGTGAGGTTATGGTTTTTCCTGCTGCCAATTGCTTATGCCAAGAGCTTGTAGGGATTGTACTATCTCTGTAGCGTTTTCTCGGTTGGCCACAGGACCGTATTCCTAAGAATGGCCTTGCCATGGTGGATTGTCTCTCATCCTGCCATATGAGATGTCCTGTGAATACGCTGAACTTTTATTGCCTTAGCTGTACTAGGTTCTTCAGGTTCATTCTTGGCTAAAAATTACAGATGTAAATTGTCTGGACTCACTAATTTTGAAAATGTTTAATAGTTTCTGTTTACTGTCCTCTCAAACATTGGGATGAAAAATATTTCATTTTTGTGTGACTGGAAAAAGGAGGAAAAATAATTTGGAACAGCAGATGGGCAAAATCTGCTTTAACTTAGCAAGGTGCCTGATAACAGATATAATTTAAGGCTGTAAGTAGCCCTACTGAAGGCTAGTGGGGTGAGTCACCCATATTTACAAAGACATAAGTGTCTAAATATCCTCTGGTATAAGGCTTAGATCCACATCGGTATGTTGGTGCCTATTTCTTATTAATTTATGCACCAAATAAGCTCATAACTATTTTGGTGGATCTTTGTGTAAGAAAGTCTATGCTGGGTTAGGCCTAAGGTCCAACTATCTTGCTGTATTTTCTCGGGTAGCAGCCGTTAACAGATGTTTAGGAAAGGCTATAAAGCATAAAATGATCTTCTCCTGACAGATCCTCTGAGCTCCTGGCAGGAAGAGGTTTGGGGCCTTTCCAAGGGGGAGGTTGTGTTCAGAAGTCACCCTCGAGCCTGTCCTCTGAGAATTTGTTTAATTCCTTTTGAACCCATTTGTACTTTTGGCTTCCACAAAGTAAATTATTTGCTGTGTGGAAAAGTACATCCTTTTGTTTGTTTCTAAACCAGCTACTTGATACTTTCATCAGGTTGCCCTTGCATCCTGCATTAGGAGAAATGGTGAATAATCATTCCTAATTGACCACCTACGTATTAGTAATGAGTTTCTAGAGCTCTGCTCTCTCCTCTCCTTCATGGTCTCTTTTCCACACGGAACAGTCCTAAGCTGTTAAATGTCGTATGGCTCCTATACAAGATGGGAAGCTGTGTGATATTGGTGTTTGGGCAGGTCACTGGATCTCGTTGTGGCTACACAGCCCCATTCCTGGAGGTCTCCAAAGAGAGGAGCGAGGTCTGTTGGGTCAGTGGTGGATCTCCTCCATCAAGAGGTGCAGCACTGGGTTTATTTTCTCTCTTGCTCTCCTGATACCCTGATGGAGTGCTAACCAAGACTTTTTGGTTTCCCTCTCACTAGAGGAGAGTTTTTTGGGGTGTTTGTGGATATTTATGAACCCTGGACAGTTGTTTTTGGAGGTCTTTAACACCGTGGAATCCATGAACCCCCAAACCTGCTAGTTTCTTTTAATGCTGAAGGGAAGAGTTTTAAGCAGTGTGGAGTAGTGCTGTGATCTCCTTTGAGTTCCCAGATTTTGGCATTGAAAGATCACTGGTCTTTTCTGGAAAGCCTCTCCTATTGCAAATGTAAAAACCTTCAGGATGCCCCCAGTGTAGCCAGATCCTTAAAGAAACTCCATGCCTTTTTCTACTAAAGAAGGCAGTAACGTTATAATTAGGGGCAATGTCAGAAGGTAGGCAAATATCCCCTAATTGTATGCAGATGATAGAGCTGGTCTCAACCTTTTGACTAGTGAAGCTTTCCTCAATTTGGGATATTGTGATCCTAATCAGGGACCTTTAGCCGTACATCAAAGGCGTCACGCTGAACCTGCATACCTTGGGGCTGGCACAGCTTGATTGCACGGCTTCCTGCTAACAGACTCATCTCTGGCCAGGTGTCTTTCCTGCTGTGGACGACTGATTCCTTTTTAGTCTTCATCACTGAGGCAAAGAAATTTAATCCCAATATTACTGCCAGCCCTGGAATGGACCCACTGATTTGGAAATTTCACCCTCTTGTTGCCCTGAAATATCAATGCAGAGCAACCTCTGATACCTGCTTATTTCATTGCCCACCCCTAACCTAAGGTAGAGCAGACCTATCATTAGTGTGTTCATCTGTGTTTAAATCTGTCAGCTTCCTTCCCCTTCTCATCTTTTGTTTCTCTAATTACTTTGATTGCATCTCTGTATCCAGCTCAGGGCTTTGGCTGAGCTGGGGAGGCTGCGTGGTTTGTCTTCCTCGGCTGCGGCAGCATTAACCTTTCTCTGAGAGGCAGAGGTGGCTCTGCGAGAGGGAGAGATTTGGGTCTGGGTTTTGAAATTCCACATGCAGCTGCATTTAGGTTTGGAGGTAACTCTTCAGCCTCTCATAGAAAACTGCCCCAGTTGCAGAGCCTGGTTGCAGACCTTTGCTGTGGCTTGGGGTGCTCTGCTCCTCCATCTCACCTGGCACTGCAGGAAGCAGGCGCTGGATGTGCAGGGCTGTCCGTAGCCTCCCTGAATGATGCCGTGGCCCATGCGGGCAGGGGTTTGAAGCCCTTGCAAGCTGGTCCTTGCTCTCCTGTGTTTTCCCAAAGTTGGGGCTGGAATTCGGTTCACACGAGTCACGTGAAAGGTGCTCAGTCAGCTTGTTAGGCATCTCACACCCGTAGCAGCACCTTTCATAGAACAGGTACTGAAACTGCAGACACCACCTTCAGCTCAGGCCCCTTCATGAACTGATCAGGTCCTGAGCTCCCCCTGCTCTGTAAATGCAGAATTAGTTCCTCAGATTGGGTTCAGAGAGTTAAGACATCCATTTCGTTGGCAAGCTGCACACCTTCCCTCTTGCTGGGCAGACATCCCTCATCACAGTGTCTTCTGCCACCCTTTAAATGACGTGTCATATTCCATCAGGATTTGATGTCAAATTACTGTCAATAAACAAGCTGCAGAAGGAGTACGTTGCTCAGGGCCCTGTCAGAGCACTCTAGCTTGTTATAACGTCTCCAAAGGATGGTGGATGGACCTTGGGTGCAGATGTGCAAGGGATTTCCAAGGTGGTGCTTTTTCCAGCCTCTGTGCTTCCCTGCTGTTACTGGATAATGCTGCCCCCATAGTTTTACCAGAGTATTTGATATCTTGAGATATACCTTGATGTTTAAGGTAAAAGAAATGAAATATTTGTGACCGTATTTTTTTTTTTTTATTTTTCAGGGATTGATTAAAATTCGAGGAGATCGCTGCTGGAGAGAGCTAACTTGCATGGATTATCACTACGAGGTAAGCAATCTACACATCAACGCCAGTTTCTCTTGACTACTTCACTCTGCTAGAAAAATTTTCTCTAAACTTTTCTCCTCCACCAGCCAGTTCTCCATGTTGTTCTTCTTTATCATTACCTTCTGTCTCTGGCAAGTCCATCAGTATCCACGTGCCAATTCAGCGATGCTGCTTTTCCTAACCTCAGTCTTGTAAGACCAATTTCTGTCCTTTTCATCCCTCGATGATGGATTGAATCAGGAATAAACCTGAGCTCCACTGAGAGCTCCCTTTGCAAAATGGTGCAAGGAAGGACCAGAGAGGACTAGTCCATAGCAGCGTGCTGAGTGCTTTCTGCTTACTCTTCCAAAAGACAGGCACGTGGGCAGAAAGAGAGCATCTCGGTGCCATTCAAGATGCTGTGTGCTAATCGCTGACCGTTTTCTCTTTTTGACGTTATTTCAGTGATTACGTTACATTCTGATTATAAACTGTGGTTTGCGTGCTGGCTCTGAGTGTCGTCTCTTCTTGGATTACGGAGAGAGGGAGCTCGGCCTCCCTTCTGTGTTCTTTTATCTATATTTTGGCATTTGAATTTGATGTGTGCAGTGTTTTAAAAAAAAACAACACACTATGTTCAGTGGCACTCAGTTGAACAAGTAGCTCTGGTTCCATAGTGAAGTAAACAAAACTGCGAGCAATATTCCTTTCTCCAGATTAACATCAGAGACACTGAAAATGGCACACTAAATTATAATGCCTCTGATCTCTAATGCGTTTCCATCTGATGCGCCCTCTGCATCGGTCTGCACAAGGCTGCAGAGTCTCAGCCATGCTTTGCTGGCGCAGTTTCTGGTGTTGCTTGTCCTGTGTTGCGGAGAGCTACGTACGTCTTTGTGCTTGAACCAAACGGTCACGTTCAGATGGGGAGCCTGAGCTGTCGATCCCTGGAGATGTGCGTTTGGGGTGACGTTCTCAGTGGACCTTTGTCATGTCTGGAAACCATTTCCCCCTTCCAGTTAAATCTGACAGCCCCTGACTTCCCTGACCTGCAGAACGTGGTCCAAGGTCTTGCCTGTGAATTACTTTTTACTGGGAGTTGGGACCCTTAACAGGGGAAATGGGGGAGTTGTTACAGTATCTCTTTCTTTCCACCATGGCATAAAGAGAAGTCCGTGTGAGTGCCAGGGACCACATTACCAATCGTGCCATAGGATTAGGATTTCTCTTTCCAAAACAGGAAAAATTATATCAATTTCCCAGGCACCGAAGCCTTTATCTTTCACTCCTATGGTTTAGTTAAGCGGTTCCACTTTTTGAAACGGAATTCCAGATCTGGAAAGCAGTGTCTCCCATTTCAGTGTTAATGCTACTTTTTTGTTGTTATTTACTTTTCATGTTTTTTGCCCCCTGACTGCAAGAACGACCTGTGAACAGTGCTGCTCGCTGAGCTCTCAGCAGACTCTGGGTATCCTGCTGCATTCTGAGTCCAGCTTGAGATGCAAAGACCCTTGAATGCTGCTGTTCTTAATCCTGAGCGCAAAGGCGGCCGTGGTAGGTTGTCCCTGCTTCGTTTTTGCCGAGCGGTGAGAGTGCCCCTCTGCTCTGCACGCTGTTAGGCACCTGGCAGTAGTCAAAGAAAAGGCAGCTCAAGCTGAGCTCCCCCGAATTCCCCGGCCGGCTCCGCTGGTGACCCCAGCCCACAACAGTCAGCCTGCGTAATCCCAAATATTTCAAATCAAAACCAGAATCAGTTCTGTAGCCCAGAAGGCTAATTAAGACCATTCCTGTCATATCCATATGCCAGGATCCCCAGCCTGCGAAAGTAATTGGGAACAGGGGCACGAGGCAGATCACATTATCAATATCAATTATTTTAATCCACACAAAAGAGGCTGCAATAAAAGGAAAATGAAAGAGGCCAAACTTTGTCTGCTAGTGACAGCAGATGAAGGGCTGCAATTCACCTGTTGATTTAGGTTTTCTGCATGCCCCGTTCTTGCGAGGTACGGGGTAGAAATGCTTTTGGTAATGGTTCAGCCCTGTAGCCAGGGCTGCTGGAGAGGGAACACAGCCTTTGCTGCTGCTTTCCTTCGACGCGGGCTGCGAAAGGAAGCCCTGGCAGGTTGGGAGTTGTTAAAGTTCTCAAACGCAGAGAATCCGGCTCCAGTCCTGGTGAAGTTCCTGTTCAGTTAGCGCTTGCAGGCAGCTTTCCAGGGGAGCTGTAGCCATAGACTGACCGTCACCGACTTCCACAGATATGATCGCATGAGGCCTGTGGGGGGGAAATCAGCACAGAGCTCTGGGTTCAACCTGCACCTTCGTCATGCCATGGTCAGCTCTTTGCACGGCTGTCTTCATCTGGCGTCTTCCCTGATACCTCTCTTGATAGGAGAGGCTTGGGCCACTTTAAAGACTGCCTTAATTCCTCCCGTTTGTGCTTTACTCACGCTCACTCGGCAGGGGAAACGTGTGACGGTGAGAAAGCCGCTTGTAGAAATGCGGTGCAGAGCAAGCCCGTCCAAATCAAACTGGCCAGTGGGAGGAAGAAAGGGGTGAAGCTGAAGATACCTCTGCAAGGGAGGAAGGGAGCTAGGAATCTGCTCATAATTAGAAGGATAGACCTGGGTATTGGACCAGCTCGTACATGGACCTGGGCCAAATGGAGTCTGCTGTGATGTACGTTGGCCACCTCAGCTCTCATATTCCAGTCCTGAGCTGCGGTCCAAGATCTACATGTGCTCCTTTGCCAAGAGAATTAATGAAAACACATGGCCTCCATCTCTTGCATGTTGAGCGCACCCTGGACTATTTATTTGTAGTAGAACCAGCAGCTATGCTTGTGGAAAATAACATTTCCACTTTTGTCAGGAATATTGTATAAAATAGTAAAATGTTGTTATGGCTTGGGCAATTAAACGGACCATATTTTTCCTCCCTTTTTCCCTTCTTATGTATAGGGCCTTAATCCCAGTCTTTATGGAGATCTGTTCCTCAACTGAAGACTCTCTGTTTAGAGGACTTACAGTCTGTAACGTTGTGTAATTTGGAGAGGGAAATGGCAGAATGCGTGGTTTACATAGGAAAGGTATTTTCCTACCAACCTAACACTCCTCTGATCCCTGAGGAGTAGATGGACTCCAGTAAGTGTGGAAGAGAAAGCAGAAAGACCCTAACAGAGACAAGGTGTTTGGTCCTTGCTGCTATAGCATGCACAGCCTGGCACGTGGAAACTACCTGGAGGATGAGACTGGGCATGAGGGTGGAAACACTCGACAGACTAATACTGGGTCTAAATGCCAGGAATCCCAAATTCTACTCCCGTGTTGGTGAGGCACCACAAGCAGGGGATTTGACCTCTTTCTGCAGTAGGTCTTTGTTCAAGCGGCCAGAGGATCCAGGTTGGGTGCGTGCACTTGCACCCCGGGGTGCACATGGTCGGGGCTCCTGGAGCCCGGTGTGTGCGCCAGGGGCTGCGACTGGCATGTGAAAATGGCCCTGCGCCGTTGGTAATTGACGGGTGAAGTGCTGGGCTCTGACATGCCGTGAGCTTTACTTGTCGTTCTTCAGGATTGCAGTTGTTTCCTTGCTGGCTGTGGTTGGATGGCTTTATTCCTGTAAGAAATCCCAGTTAAATCAGAGGCTTTTAGACCGTGCTCGGTGGAACCTGTTTATGATTCAGTTAATGCAGTGGGAAGCTGCTTCTGTGTTTTAGATCTGTTTGTCATCATTATTATTAAGCATTTATCTACTGTGTACACAGTGGTTTACAAATATGTATGCAGCGGTTTGCAAACAAGAGCTAGATTTCTGCTTCCACTGGAGTCCATGGCAGGGATCCCACCACCTTCAGTGCAGTCCTGCCTATCGGGCAAGAGAGAGGCAGCTTTGCTCCCTGCTGCACGAATTCGGGGGCGAGGCTGAGCGTGTCCCTCCAGCAGCGTTCCCACCCAGAGCGCAATCGCGCTGGCCGCCCTGGGGAGAACGTCTAGCGAGAGGCTGTTGCAGAAGGTTTTGAGCCACGTGGGGCCATTTCTGGAGCATGCACGGCTCGAAGGACGTTGCCAGGGTCTAGGCTGGAGCAACTCTCTGACCTGCTTCAGGAGGTTCCAGCACCGAGAGCCTGGAGAGGGAGCAGGGAGCACTAACCTGCTCCCCGGGGGCCTCTTACCACCCTGTCCTCTGCCAAGCTTTATCTGGCCCGGGGTTTGCTGACTCTGGGTGTGCTGCTTAGCTGGCATAAGCACAATGTCTTAACATGCTCCAAATGGAGAAAAGCCTCTGTGCAAGACCCGTGCGTAAAATCTCCCTAGCAGGCCTGCAGCTCTCTGAACCTTGCTCTCGTACCGCAGAGCACCTTGCAACCAGATGTCTTGGCAGTGGCCAGGTTTGAGTGGCACAGGCAGGAGATGAGCGTTTCTGACCCGCAGCCAGTCCAAATGGAGCCTGTGTTTTTGGATGCTGGTGGTGATCTCGGCAGAATAGTTAAGCAGATAATCTTAAGGGTTTAGAAATGGGAAAGTCCTACATGGTCACATCTAGTCCGTCTCCTTGTGTCCAGCGCAGGACTCTTCCCTGGGGGCTGTTGTCCAGCGATGCATCTCGTGACGGCTGCCAAAGTATTGTTGCTTTTTAATTACAGCCACACAGACAAATGTCTTGTAAAATTCAGCCACCAACTGGTCGGAGCAGCTGCCGGAGCAGCTGCTCAGGCAACACAGTGGATAAAATAGATCCCCACTGGGCGTCCTCCTTCTCGGCGTGTTTTAGGCTGGAAACTGCGCGAGAGCGGTTGGCCGTCCGTCGCTGCAGTCACCCGCGTCCTGCCGGGTGCCCTCTGCCAGGCCGGGCCGTGCAGCACGGGGGAAAAAGCGCTGGGGGAAGATGCCAGAGGTACCAGCCAGCAAGGGCAGCTGCCACGTTCGCCAGGCAACGCACCTGCGGCCAGTGCAGGGAGCTATATTTTATTTTTTTAATGTTGATTTTTTTTATTATTTTTAAAGTGACATTTTGACAGCGAT